TCCTCCAGCTGGAGGGGGTCCAACCTGACTGACAGATCCATCAGTCGGTGGCTCCGACAGGAAGAGGAGGAGCGTTTACCGGAGACGGTTGAGGTTTTATGAGCACAGTAGAGCAGCACTGGTATCAGGGAGGTGGTGGAAACCACTAAACATTTCACCAATATATATGTCTATTTTACCACTGGACATCCAATCACTGGACATTTTAAGGGTCATTTTTTCCTTACATTGGTATGACATACCCCACCTGCGCACCAGAAGGGCTGCTCGCAGGCCGGGGACATAAGTTACACGACACTCACACAGTTTAGGAAACGTACTGGTCCTCCACGCCGCGTCTACCTCCCCTTCCCCCTTTCCCAACCACTCTTCCGGGGTCGGCCCTTGGTCCCCGGTCCAGGTCGCCTTCCTCCAGCGTGAGCCGCACACCCGCGCACAGTGAAAGGAGCGATGGGAGAGCGGAGGCGCCCGATGGGAAGCAGAAAACTCTCAGGTAACCCGAGTCTGAGGACATCGGAGGGTCAGGTCTGATACTATTGCATGAAAAAAATCATCAATCTCTATCTACCTACCTTTGCATATTCTTTCATTGGTTAACCTGAAAACCACTTCAACACGAGCGCGCGCCTTGCAAGCAGTACTGCTAATAAGAAACTTATCTCCATCTTCAAAACTTACCTTCTTCTACACATGCTCGCATCATAACTCAACTTTAAGCAAGACTCACAAAACTCCTCTCTGCTCTGTATTTCCTCTGAGCTCCTTCTGACTTCCTCGCTCACCCACAGCCTGCCCGTTTATAAAGCGTGCGGACGTGTCCATGGCTCAGGCGTATCTAAAGCGATATCATAGAGAGCACGCATCGTGACACTGATCCACGGGATTCATTACCACACCTGCTCTTTATCTCAAATATCACAACACAGCGTGAATTCGAGGAGAGGTTATCGTCGAGGGAATGTACGCAAACCCGCTCAACAAAGAGACTTCTCTTCCTCATTTTTAAAACCCTTTTCCATTTTCAACTTGTTTGTTACCGTCTTTTCAGGCTAGTCATCAAAATTAATCAATATTCCTTGGGTTCATTATTAACTGTAAATCAATCCAAATATTTTATTTATTCTTCTTTATTTCGATGTCATACTATCTCTTGCTCTTGAGCACCTTTTGACGTCTTGTTCTGGGTAAACACCGCGAAAATAGTAGACTCTCACTGTTATGCAACTGGCTGACCAGGCGCTGGACAAGAGTCCATCCGCTCCTGGCACAAGGAACCAGCCACGCCACCCTGGTCGTAAGTGAAACCATCAGCGTGGTGCCGTTAAAAGAACGCCTATGCAGCTTGCATACGGTTTAATTGGCCAAGCAGGGGGCACTCCAATTGGCTGGTGTATGAGTAACAGAGTCTCATTAAGTGAGCTCAGTGAACAGTTTCCGATGAGTTTAGTAAATTCGTTCCATACAGCATGATGTCATGCTAATAAGCTGATGGTCCCATTTAGAGGTCAAAACAGACCATAAACAGGGATGCCTTTAAGGGCGGGGCTTAACCTTGTGATTGACAGCTCATTCCTCCCACAGTGAGCTCCTTAAATCTATTTATTGCGTAGGAACGCAGATGTGAGATGTGAGGAACGACCCGAGCGCGAGGCGGACCGTTACCCACGCCCCGCACCCTCTCTTCACTTTCAGCACTCGATTTTTTCCGTCTCCCTCGTCTCTTCTCCTTCTCCCTCCCTCTGGGTCTCTCCTGCGTGTGCATGCGCTGTGTTGCGCAGGTTGCCGAGGAAGGCTGCAGGCGTAGCTGCATTGGTTGGCA